CACACAGACACACACACACAGACACACACACAGACACACAGACATACACACACACATACACCTACACACACACATACACACACTTACGCACACACACAGAAACACATACGCACGCACACACACACACACACACACACATGCACATTTGAATAAATGACCACAGAGTTAATCATTTTAACAGAGGGTAATGAAGACTGTGACCAGGCAACAGTATTGAAGAATTGACTAGTGGCTACTTTTTTATTCAGCAGAATTCCCAGGATAGAATCTGATCGCTTGGGGTTGAAGAATGAGTGGGTGGTATGTATAAGTAGTGTCATCTAATTTTTTAAGAAATTTGAATCTGAATCGACTCGACGACACACAATAACAACAGGCAAGAAGAAAGCTAATCCAGTAGCTTAACGAGTTGGCAGGATCACAGGAAGCAGTTTCCTAAGGCATGGAAGGCTTGGCTGGGTTTCTTTGCTGAGGGGAGAAGCCAGTAGAGACGTGAAAAATTAAAGACATTAGAGGAAGAAATAAATAGTAGAGAAATGTCCTGAAGTAGGTAGGAAAAGGGAAAGGATCAAGGATCCAAATAGTTTAATCAGAGAAAGGAGGAAAAAATCATCCTGTCAGGGAAAAGAGAAAATGTATGGGATGTTTGAGAAAACAGAGGATATTGAGAAATAGTCAGTTTGAGGAGATTTATACCATGTGACCTTGTTCTTACAACTCGAACGGCCCAGTCACTTGCTGAGAGTGAGTGAGTCAGGATGAAGTTGTGGGGATAGAGGAGAAAAGCTTTTCAGCAACCAGCGTTGCTGAGTTTAGTTGAAGCTGGAGGGTCTTGGTAGAATTAGAGCTGTTAGCTGTGATTTGCAGTTCATGTTATGGAGTCTCTCTCTCTCTCTTTTTTTTCCCTAACAATGAAACAGCTGAACTGTCCCAGACAATGGATACACAATCCAATACTTTTCCCATTATGTTTTGCTTTTGACATTGTAGTAAACAGAGCAGCATTCAATTTGTTTACAAAATTTAAATGATTTTTAAAAAATATCTTCACCAAAGGTTAAGGCATTTGAGTCTTTTTATTTTTTTAATTTGTTTAAAAAATTTGTAAACAATTGTATTCTTTGATTTATGATTAATCTGGGTTGGGAGGCACTAGATAATAGATAAGTTATTTCCCTAATTGAATAGTCTCTAATGGC